GTGCTTAAATAATTCTATATATACTGTAGTTCATTCTTTAGATCTAATTTTGTAAAATCAATTTTGATAACTGTTCATTTATGTCAAGTTCAAAGTATCTTTTGTACAAACCATACCTTTCTCCCTTGTAAGTTTGGTTTATTTACGTTTCCTCTAATGTCTGGCTACAGCAAGAGATAATTATAATGTCTATTTAATGTTTCTTGGTTTATTTCAATTAAATTCCATCTACGTTTTTTTCATTTCTATTATGGTGGGCACTACTGGTGATATAAGTAGTATTTATCATCAGTCGGAAGTGGGATGCCTAACGTCAGAGATTGAGAAGATCGAAGAGAAGAGAATGAGAACAGAGAGTGATTAGTATGGAAATGAACAAACAATCAAGTGTGAGACAATTGATGAATATTTTGCAAATGAAGTATTTACTGAATGGTTCTCAAATTCTAACAAGATAGTCTGTAATTTTGTGTTCAGATACGTCTGGTTGTCCCCACCTGTGTTCTCTTTCACTACACTTACTCTGACGGCAATGCTATAGCCATAGGGTTATAATTTATGATTGAAAGTCAATCACTTATTGGTCTTCTATGATTTCTTCTGTTTATCATCTGTTAGTCTTATTAATATGTGGTGTGCTTATTTGTAATCTAGAACTTTCTCTTAATACATTGGCATCGTAAAAAGTATTGATTTTTATGTCATTATTCTGTCTTCTCTCAACTCAAATAGTCTAGAGATACTGTATGGTTGAAAATGATCGATTGAAAACCCTGAATCTAGGTATAAAACTATTTAACTTCAATCTGGAAGATGTACTTATAATTTTGAGGGAAGTGATTCTCCCTGGTTGATTTAAGCCCATCTTTGATTGTAACATTGGACAGTGTAGTCGCGAATCGACGAGAGATAATCATTTGCCTTAAGATAACTTGTATATCTTATTGACAAGTGTCAACTAGCTTGAAACCTAGATGAAGTATGGTTTCTTGTCAGGCACCTTCAATCACCTCACATGTGATGTCGAGGCACTCCGAAAACTTCATTGATCGAAATCAGTTTGCAGTACTAAACGAATATACAAATATGATATTGATTACTAGTCAGTATTCAAATAATTGTGGACGAAGATGGATTGTGGCTAGCAGTGGAATTCACGAAGTGCTTTTCTTCCTGTTTAGGACTCATCAGCTAGATGTACTTACATCTCAGAGTTGATGTTCACTCTGGGACTTCAATCCAATACCATTCACTTCAAACATCATTGCGTTATGTACTTATCCTGACGCAACGCATGTCAAACTGGATTCCACTGCTAGCCACCACCCATCTTTTCTTATAAAGCTTGTAACTTCAGAGTTATATCGAAGCAATCCGTACAGAATGCACATATGCCAGCAAGCGACTGATCAATTGCAGCTCTAAAGAACAATAAGAAGATACAAGTAGAACAACATCAAGTAGAAATACTTGTGAATCTAGATATGTTTATAGCCTTTCATTGACGTTTCTATTCTTTAGTAAATTCATCATTATCTCATTATTGTTTGTTTTTTTACCATAACAGATACATTTATCATCCACTATTAAATAATTCCATTACAATTCTCCTTTACCAAGAATGTAAAAAATACGTTAGTAACAACAATGTAATTACACTTTACATCTCCCCCCCCTCCAAATAGCAAAACCAATTACATTTCATGTTAAAAACTCTACATATTTGCTTAACTCCTCAAGGCGAAATCTCTCTTCTGGGATGGTTATGATAATAATGATAAGTAAATAAGAAAATCTTCACAAGTACTTTTAACAGCAAAATATATCGTGTGATTTTATTATTTTTTCATGTGAAATATTGTTGAGTGGTGGATGATTGAAGTTAACTAATAAGAAACCCTAGATCTAGGTATCATATTGTTTGGCATTCATCAACAAGATATACCTGTAATTTTGAGATAATTGATGCTTCTTGATGGATTTGATCCCATGTCATCCAGTTTTACAGCCAGAGAGTATACCACTGAACTATTCGTATAAATGTTACTTTAGATAGTATTATAATTTCAAGTATTTATAGTTATGAATGAAGAAAGCATAGTGAAGTGAAATCAACAGATATGCTACATACTATTATTCTTTAAACTTTGATGTAGTTAATCAGAGTTCTTTAATGAAATACTAACAAACTATTGTGTTGTTTCACTTCAAACTATCTGTTTCGCTATATTTCTTGACATAAAACATTCATCTGCTTTAAATTCTCACTATAGGGATTGTCGAGATTGTTGAGCTTTAATTAAGATCATAAATGGATTGATGTTAGATCACCACTGAAAACCTAGAAGCACTGGAATGTGGTCTCGTCCTATACTAGGACGAGAGACGGAGATCATAGGCTTTGTATGTGACAATAATGAAAATAACAACCTTAAATGTTGGTATTCCAAAATATTGTTTAAATGAATTTTTAATGTTTAATATAGATTTACTAATTGTTGGGGAGATCCGGGAAACTTCTCGAAAAAAAGTCAAAAAAAGGCTTTGAAAACATTGAGAAGCATCTTATCCAATCACTATTCACAAGACATTTTGCCAGAAACATCTAGAAAGTGAGAAGTCACGCGTCAAGTTTCTGATTCAATGATTACCTATACTGATACTATGTTTTAAATAAAAATAATATATTTGTGATATACCAATGAGTAGAAAATTAGATTTTCTGACGTTTCGTGACTTAGTGTAAGTCACTTCTTCAGAGACTAAATAACCAAATTAAAATTAATCCAAGTTTAAATAGTACAACGGAACAATGCAAGAATCTGTTTGGTAGAGTTCTAAAATATTCTGGAAACCCAAATTTATCTATGACACTATAAATACCCTACATTTTCTGTACATAAACAAACCTTTGGAGTAAATCACTTTCTTCCATATTTCGTACCTTTTCTCTCATATTCCAGTTGCTGTGTAGATCTAGCCTGGGGATTACTAGAAGAGCTTGGGAACCGAATCTAGTGTTCACTAGACAACTTATCACTAATGAGATCTTCAGACAAATTTGATGACATCGCTATGTGTTCATTAGTTAGCCCTCTTCTAGAGGATTGTTTAATTTTCTATCTTAAATACACAATACATCATCCGACGATTGACGAATTTCACTTATACAAAATGTATATGGTTGACACTCTTATTATTTGTAATAAAAACACTGATCTCAATGTCATCCAGGATAAGTTCAATAATTGTCATAAAATCATAAAATATTCCTAATAGTTGAGATCATGAGTGAATTAAGTCTAGACCACTATGGAAAACCTGTAAGCACTGGATGACTGTTTTATCCTATTGTGAAACTCCTCTATGGTAGTGCGTATCCATGATCCCTCCTTGCGTGATTCGAACCGAGAATATAAAATATTCATATAAAAACTATAATATCAATATAAAATTCAATGATTTACAGTAGGTCTCTTTAAAAAACTTTTTTATTTACAACAATGAATTTATTATACCTATAGGCAACATACAGCATGTTATGTAATCAACTGTCAGTTATTCATCACAGTATACTGCATATGGATATTACTAATAAATTACGAAATAGTTCCCTCTCTCTCTCTCTCTCACTTTTTTCATTTGAGAAGCGGTAGTATCAACTTAACTAGAAAGTATTTAGGTACCACATTAGGATGATTCAATAAGATATTGATCATCAATAACTATATGTATACCTTGAATAATAATAAGAAACATTACTTTCAATAAACTGAACACATAAAAATAAACATAATTACCGGTTTAAACAACAATTCCATGAACGAATTAGTTGCCATGCCAATCATACAGACAAAAAGACTGAACAATTTGTAATATTTAAAACAATTAGTCCCTTTGATAAATTTCGATAATGATATTAGAAGACGAAGATTATCAGAACTATGAGATATATTAGCGCAATACATTTCGAATAATCTGGTCACACAAATACTTGTTAAGAGCATTTATATATAAAAAATATAAAAGGTCAACTAGACAGGAAACGGGGTAAGAGGAGATAAGGATAATGATAAGAGTAATAATAATAATAATAATAATAATAATAATGTGAACACAATTTGAAACCTAATCACTCTGGATAATAAGTCTATATTACCAGGGTAGGTTTAAAGTAAGAACAAACTGTTTTTGAACACACAAAGGGGGTCTGAATTTTCGTATGGCTAAGGCTTCGATAAACCTTAGTATACGCCCTTTTACACTTTTATACAGCACTACAAAAGCTTAATTTAGATCAATCTTGTGACCTGTTTCAATTATATGTTTAGCAATAGAGGATGATGGATATTTATCTTCTACTCTTATTGGATCACTCGATTGTATTTGTTTCTGAAGCCATTTGGGTACATGTTCACTCACCCTAATGTTGAGATCACGATTACTCCTCCCTATGTATGTGTGACCACACACACATTTAAATTGGTAAACACAGTGGGATGTGACGCAATCGTTTTCATGTACTTTAGGTTTTGAATGAAGCATACACCTTGTTCTTTCTTTGATGATGACCTTGGCTGCGCAATAGGTTTTATTGATGACTGATTTAAGACGTTGTTTCAGTAAAAGGCTATTTGAATCACCTCTGAATGGTAAGGTGATGTAGACAGGCTTTTTCTCTACCGAGGCTACGGTAGGTCTCGCTGTACCATGGACTTTCCATCTATTTATGAAATTGAGAGAGGTAGGGAAGGAGGTTGAGAGGGGGATGGGGGTGGGTAAATGTTTCAAATTCATTTCTATATCATAAAGTAGATGAATAAATTATTATTATTTTTTTGCAACTTGTTATATTTATACAAAAAAAAATATTCCATTTGTACATCAACAGAATAAAAAAGTATTTTCAATAGTTTACAAATTGTAAGAAAGAAAGTAAGAAAAAAATCAATAATTTTGATGATTTTTTATTTGTTAGACCATAGAAACCATTTTAATCACTAAGATGTTTTCATAGTTTCATATTGTATAGCCTGAAATGTTAAATATAAATTTAATTAAAATATTCATAACATTCACTTAGTATTTTTTTATTTAAATCTTTCTATTGATGTTTAGGACTGAAATTAAAATCTGTGTATACTGTGCGCATAACCCTGAAGTCACAAGCATTCTAAGCAAAGATGAACAAATATACATAAGCAAGTGACTATCAGGACTTATTAGATAAGTGGATAACGCAATGTTGTTTGAAGTGAATGGTAATGGATTGAAGTTCCATAATGAACATCAACTCTGAGATGTAGGTACATCTAGCTGACGAGTCTTAAATAGAAAGAAAAGCGCGTCATGGATTTCACTGTTAACCACTATCCATCTTTGTTTTTATTATTATTATTTATAAATGTTCATTTGTACAGAAGGGATTCAGTTGTTAATGTATACAAAATATTATATTGTCAGCCGTATGGTGTCATGCAATTTTTTGTGCCAACCTCAGTGTAAATATGGTTATTTAAGTTAAATCATTTGATATTTTACTGTAAATTAACAATGATGTGTTACTGGCCTCAAGAGAGAATTCCTGGAGTCCTAGTGAGATGTCATGGCCAATGGATTTCAACTGTGTCTGCAGTGAGACAGTTACCCACTGAACAGAATGGCGAATGGTAGCGCAATATCGTGAATTGGGTGAAGTTAGACATTAACACTGTTGAATGCCGGCTCAGCGATCTACAGGTTGAGCGTTTGCGCGTGATACTGAAGGTCCTGAGTTTGAGTCCAATGTGCAGGATTGTGGAAGCGCAATGCTGAGGAGTCCTATGCTAAGTTTAAATGATCGTCTACTGTTTTCAGGTTTCTCATGGTGGTCTAAAATTGATCTATTCATGATCTCAATCAAGACTGATGTGTTAGTTGTATGAATCATAAACACTTGCTTGATTTGACCATCAAAGATTGTTTTCTATATTCACAAGACATAACTGACCTCAACCTTGTTCATTACTTACTTACTTAAGCCTTTTACCTTTCGTGGAGCACATGCCATCGACCAGGAATCTCAAACCTGCACTTTTCTGAGATAACATTTCTAGTTTTTATCAAGTGTTACTCATCCTTTTGATGTCTGCTTCCAGTTATCGGACAAATGTGTCCTTTGTTTTCCTTTTGTTCCTATTACCCTAAGGATTTCACTCTAAGGGTTTGCTTCGTGATGCAGTCTAGTGATTCACGCTTGGAGCCCTACTAAGGTTGGACATAGAGTCAGCAACCCTATCCCGTAGAAAGAAGACTACCCAATAAATGCTTATCAGAAGAAAATCACTTGTTACGCTACACATTGGTGAGATCATGACGAATCAATAATAATTCTTAGTTAATTGCATAATACGCCATTTATACATAATGTGAAATTTTTGTTTAAACACTAGACAGGCAATATGCTATCAACTCGATTACAGTAAGCCTAACATATATTATCAGTAAACTACATACTTTTTTCTTTATCTAGGAATTATCTATTTTAGAATAATATGGTGGTGGGGGAGGTGGTAGTTCAGATAATGCCGGATATGGTGGTGGTTGATCTAAGTTAGGCGCCGACGATATCACTGCTGTTCCTGTTGGCATTCTATCTTGTGATGTATTAATTGGATATGGAGCCTGAGATGAACTCATTGGATATGGAACTTGTGATGAACCCGTCGGATATGGGGATTGTGCAGGAATATTAGTAAAATTTGAGGTTGGAGTTGGCTGTGATCTAGGTAAATGATTTCGCACTGTAGTTGATGTAGTACGTTGTCCTGTGAAAACGAAAAATTGAAAATAATAGAATAATTTAGGCAAACAGAAGATGTGAATTGCAATTATATTCATATTCCTAGTCAGGGAAAATTATATTATACCGACAGCTTTGGATTAACCAATAGGAAGCAAAGTAACGCCCAATGTATTTTGCAGAAAATTTGAAGTTTAATGATAGATAACTTGTATTTTATTATTGGCGGAATGAAAATTGGCAACATCGGGTCCTTAAAGTGTTTTACATCAATGGAAATATGTATTATGCAGCCAAAAAGTGAATTTAGGATGGTGCTAATTACATTACGAAAAATACCTGCTTCAAAAGAAGATTGTGTGTTAAGTCACCTGAAATAATTCAATGCGTAGTGAAGTTTGTTTATTGAAGCTAGGCGGTATTCTACTACTCTAACTCTTACTCTAAATCTCAGCCCCAAGTTTCTTAAGTTTGTAAATAGAAAGGTGGTGAAGTATCGGATTATAACTGATGTTAGTGTGTTATAGAAACCTCGACCCTAATTTCTTAACCCGAATTAAAACTCGTCATATATAACCCTCACCTTTTGACATTATGATCAAAGTTATTTGGGGGTAAAAACTCAAACTCACGATACTTTTCAGACCTTTCCCTTCGCTATAAGAAATAATTTGAAGTGTAAGGGTTGATTGTTCAGATGAAAGCTATTATTTTATCTCTCTTTGTTGTTAATTCTTTCATAACCAGACAGTGTTTCCTGATTGTCTGATAGGTCTCCCAAAGTCGTCAGTATTTTATAGATCTACCGGTAATTAATCAGATACTGTTTGTTTTACTCTCTATCACTGATGTTATGATTATGTTTAGATCATGATTTCTTATTTGATGCCCTCTGTGGTCAGGAATTTGAAGCATATTATTGTATACGTTTTGATTCACAATCAATTGAAGCACAATAAATAACTAATCTGTTTCCTATCCACGTCCTCTGATTGGCTAATGTGTTTAGATTGGTCTCGACGGCTAACAAGCGTTAAGGTTTTTTAGTGTTTCTTTTTGTTAATGTAACAATTGATACTTAGTAGGTCACTGATCCTACTGATGATACAAGTGAATTAATCGATAAACGAAGTTCTGAATGGGCAATAAAGTACATGAAATTGATTAGCGTTCTTAAGATGCTATATATATTGCTTCAAACTAAAACTGATTGCTCCATTCTAGAAAATAATAGCTATATATTATGGCATTTTATAAAAAAACTTCACTATTTCGAGATGATTTTAAACCTTGTAAACAAAGATGTATAGTGACTAGCAGTGGAATCCACGACGCGCGTTTCGTTCTAGTCGGGACTCGTCAGCTGGATGTACCTTCATCTCAGAGCTGATGTTCACTCCGGGACTCGAACCCAGTACTATCTGCTGGTGAGTCATAATAGCCATTTACTTGTGTGATGGGGTGAAGTTTAAATTCACTTGGTATTGTTTACTTGAATCTCCCATTGATGTTTAGGACCGGCGTATGTACATACTGTGCGTATGCATCTTTGATTATAATGCTTGTGAATTAAGGTAATAGAATTATCACAGTCCATAGAATTATTATTATAAAAAATGAATATTATGCAAAACATGTTTCAAATTAAATCACCCAAATACGGTGTTTTTGGAATTTTCATTTACATTTAAATGGTACTATTTTCTGTTTAAAGATTATCAAGGAAACATCATTATAACATTGAAAATGAAATAGAATTGTTAGTGCACAGAATTTTTCTGGTTAGCGTTTTTTTGATGAAAGTACCCAATTGCGTCACAAAGCAAGCCCTTACATGGAATCCTCAAGGCCGAAACAAAAGAGGAAAACCAAAGAACACATTACGTCGAGAAAGGGAGATAGACATGAGAAAAATGAACAAAAATTGGATAGAACTAGAAAGGAAGGCTCATGACAGAGTGTGTTGAAGAACCCTGGTTGGCGGCCTATGCTTCATTGGGAGTAACAAGTGTAAGTAAGTGCACAGAATTTATAGAGATTGTTGTGTTTCATAGTTTGCGTGACGAAATGATCTTGCTTAAACAACCATTAAAAACTGGGAAGTATCAACATGGTTATTTGTTTTAGTATGGGATTGTTCAATAGCAATATACATCCATAACACCATTACAGGGGACCGAAATCAGGAACTTCATATGAATGTCTAATCATCTGACAATAAAATAAGCATACACTAGTCCACATTGTTACGTCTCAGTAGATTTGAATAATGTACCATAAAGTTATGTAATTGATTATACTACATAGGGCCAATGTTCATTCACTAAATAATCAACATCTTTTTAAATTGAAGTGAATATATATCAGCATTAACTAGTCACAATTGATTGATCACTGGGTGGTGATCAATGTCATGTGTGTCAAGTCCTTATTTAGTACAGATTGAATGCTATCGATCATGTTGCAATGTGGCCACTAGTCTAGGTGACTCGACACTGCGTGCACTATATATTGAGATTAGATTGTTGTTGGAGGTAGTCGACAGGAAACTCTGGACCCGGGTTCCGTGCTATTTGGCACTCATTAACAAGGTGTACCTGTAATCTTGAGGGAACTGGTGCACCCTGGCGACATGACATCGATCACCACCCGGTGATTAGTCAATTGTGATTACATCTCAGTCTTACAGGAGATCAGTCGTGGCCCGGATAGCTCAGTGGTAACGTCTCTAACTGTGAAGCTGGGTGACACGGGGTAAAATCCGTCAGGGAGCACCAATTCTCTCGAACTTACAGGTACACCTTGCTGACGGGTGCCAAGTAGCTCGAAACCCGGATCCAGGGTTTCCTGTCGACTACCTCCAACCACCATCTAAGCATTAACTAGTCTCTAGTGATCATCATATATATTATACTATACTATTGTTACTGTATTAGTCTAATTATCTTATATATATTTCTATTTCTATTAATTCCAATTCGGTATACCTTCCGTTTGATCTTTTTTTAATGATAATCAGGTGAATGAGAATAAATTAATTCTCAATTTAAAAGTACGTTTATAAATTTACCTTTGCAGAAAGAAATTTATTGATTTTTCAATCGATTTTTACAAAGTGAAAACTATTTGTCAAAATAGATTTTATAGTTGAATTCATGAATCGATGTAAGCTAGAACATTAATGAAAACCTGAAAGCACTAGATGGTTGTTTCGTTTTAGTATGGAACTCCTCAATAGTACACATCCACGATCCTGAACCAGGGATTCGATCCCAAGATATTCGGTTTCGTGCACGAACGCTTCACCTGTAAACTAGTGAGCCGACATCCAACGCTGTTAATGTCTAACTCCCATAAATCCATGAATGTTTGCGCAATCGTTCATCCATTGTCTGAGACAGGTTCCAAACTCTACCCGACACTGATTGAACTCCACTGCTAGGGAGTCCCTCATTAGGATGAGACAGCCGTCCAGTGCTTCCAGGTCTTCAACAATGGTCTAACATTGATCGATTCACAATCTCATCCAAAACTCAACAATTTCCACAACTCTATACTGATAATTCTATTTTTCATTTAAATAAATCGATTTATTGATTTTATAAACTGTAAGCACACATTAGATTATTGATTAACGGCTAGTTTCATTGATTTAAATTTATTGATTGATTAAATATTATTATGGATATCTGTGGTAAACATTAATACCAGTAGCTGAAATCAGCATTTAGTTCCAGTTAAAATCTTCGTTTAAATCTTTACAAGAGTTTATTGTAGAATTCTGAGTTCTAGTCCCGTGTGCAGGATTGTAGATGAGCACAACTGAGGAATCCCACACTAGGATGAAACGGTCATCCAATGCTTGTAGGTTTTCAATAGTAGTGTAGGTTAAATCAACTCATGAATTCAACTGTTAAAAATTCTAAAACGAAATAATAATTCCTACATTTTTTACAAAATGAACCGAATTTGTATTAATTTAATAGTTGAATTCATGAGTCCACCATGGAAAATCTGAAGGCACTGGACAGTTGTTTTATCCTAGTATGGGACTCCTCATCAGTGTGCATCCACGATCCCGAATTTCTTAGAAAAAAATATTCAAAGACCTAACTAAGTCTTTCAAGTAGAATACTAATTGACTATTATCTTTTTGAAATTCGAAGTATTTCTATTCACTTGGTGTTGTTTACTTGTATCTTTCCAGTGTTATTTAGAACTTCAATTGATCAGTCTTTTATTAGCATATGTGCATACTGTGCAGACTGCCAACAAGAGACTGATCAATTGCAGTTATAAATAACAATGAGAAGATACAAGTAAACAACATCAAGTGAATATAACTTCACCCGATTGCACAAGTAGGTGGCTATCAGGACTTCGTAGCTAAGTAGATAACGCAATCGCATTTGAAGCGAACGGTATTGGGTTCGAGTCCCGAAGTAAACATCAACTGTAGAATATAAGTTCATCCGGTTGGAAAGTCCCAAATAGGATGAAACATATGTCCTGGATTCTACAGCTAACCGCTATCCATCTTTGCTTATAAGCATTTCCGTTTATAACTTGGTAGAAACTTGATTTTGTATTCTACAGTGATGTGTTTATAACTTTAAGTCAACTATTTTTAGACGTGTATTGAATGTCATGAATGTATTCAAGTAATGAATAGAGTTATCAAAATAGTAAGACTGATAACAAGGAATTGTTGAAGAACATCAATGTGGGGAAAATCAATTCAATCACTTCTCACCAGTTAAATCTCTACAAACAATCATACATACTTAAAAATATGAAATTCAGTGAAAGGATCTCTTCTCAACGAATTTATTACAAAGCTGTGCGGCCGTATATATATGTAACTCCAGAGGCTGAAAAGAATTATTTCTTTATTCAAATATGAGTGTTTGATTAGAAAATTTTGTAACGACACAATAAGGTATTAAACCAGTTTGAACTTTCGAGACTTATTTCCATGGATTATTATTGTATATAAATTTATAACATAATTATTATAATCAGAGAGGGGTTTTGTGGATATTATGGTAATTACAAAGTTGAATTCATGAGTCAATTTAAATTAGACAACCATGGAAAACCTAGAAGCACTGGATGAGCCGTGTCGTCCTAGTTTCGGACTCATCCGTGACAGTGAGCATCCACGATCCCGTCTCATGAGGTTCGAATCCAGGACTTATCACTCGCACAAGCGTGCTTTTAACCATTAGACCACTGTGCCGGCCGATATCCAACGGTGTTAATGTCTAATTTAAACCTATCCACGAAATTGTTCCACTGTTCACCATTGTCTTCAGTGAGTTACTATCTCACTACAGACTCTGTTTAACTTCACTAGTCGCGACTTATCGCAACAACTCAAGAAAATCCAACTTGATGCCAGTCACTAGTGAGCAAATGATTATTATCAGAAAACTTCCATCAATGTATGCGTATTATTTTTATTAAAGAACTAGTCGATTATATTTCCTGTATAGTATGCTTCTTTTTGAACCAACTAACTATTGTTATACATCTCATTATTCCTTTATTATTGTTAATGATTTACATTTTTCTTTATTCTATTTCACATATTAACTTGATTGTATGCAAAGTATGGTATATAATTCCAAGTATGTTACAGTCTGATAATTAATACATATAGATCTATAAATGGTGGAGAAAATTTGTAGCTCAGGTGGATGATTTTGGTGGAGCTCAGAGAACAAAACTCCACCAAGATCTATAAATCCTTGAAGAGGACAATAAAAAAAGTTTACCTCTTGTATTCTTTTATTTAACATATAATAGAAGTTAAGATTATTTCAGCCTGATCTCATAATTATTCGTTCCTAGTCAACGTATGTGATTGGTCAAATCTTAGGATGTTAGTCTCTAAATGAGACAGTACACTTAAACTAGAGACAATTATCAATTTAGATTTTGAGTGCTACATCTTCTCGACTGATATCAACTAACTTTTCGTTCATAAAATTAAGAATATTAGGTAAAAAATGAGATTGCAATAAAGAAAACAATCCTAGATTAGCTATTTTATAGTATGAGTTACAAGTGTTGAGTCAGTCAGTCAGTAACAACGAAGAACTTCGTACATCTGTACGGACGTACGTCACTTCGAGTTGCCATATCACATTAGCACAGAGACGCAGTTGTCGATTCAAATCCCATAGTGGTAGAGGTAGTAAAAGTATAAGCATTAATCGGAATGATTAGGGCTTGAAGATGTTAGTCAAGGAGTATAATACAGTGAAATAAATTTGGAAACAGAAAAAATAAAGGGACATGAAGAATTGAGGAGATTAGAATTCGGGAGACCAGAGAGAGTGGATGCACCTGTGCCATTGCAAACGACTTTGAGCCATGTCATTCAAGATGTCTAACGATCGGGTGCTATAATCTCGTGGATCCCAACCGCGTAGTCTACACCTATCAACATGACTCAGTTCACTTGTCAGTGACTTCATGGATTCGTGCCGTGTTGAACATTTATTCCAATAGTATACTATTAAAACGTTGTTTATTTTTCGTTGAATCCTAGTAATAGCATTAAGTGAAAGCTGTATTAAGAAATATGTCAGGTGGTTGGAGGTAGTCAACAGGAAACGCTGTTTCATCTAGGTTTGTCAAACAGTCCAAATCTGAGTTTCCTAGTGGCTACTTTCAATTGCCAAGTATCAGAACACTATACACACGATGTTGACCATAAATGACTAGGAAATGAAATATGGTATGTTTTATGTGTGTTTTGAATTCACATTCTGTTTATAGAATATTCTATTCGATTTTTTTGTTGAGAAAAGTAACATCAATTCCAAGAAGATTTATATGTGTATTTGGATAAGAATAGTATCTGATCTACAGATGTATTACTTCAAAATCATATAGTATTTTGTAATACATCTGTTCACCATTCAGGTGTGCAGCAGTTACCCACCGAAGATTCTGAAAAATGGTTGTACGACATCGTGAACTGGTTGAATTTAGACATTTACACTGTTAAATTCCGGTTCAATGATCTAGAGGTTAAGAGTTCACTCGAGACCTAAGGCCATTGGTTCGAATTCCCACATATTGGGATCATGAATACTCACAGATGAATAGCTTCATATCAGGAAGAAATGACCATTCAATGCTTCCAGGTTTTTTAATGATAGTCTAAAATGGATTAGTTCATCATCTCAATAAAATTCTATAATCTTCACAACTTTCATCTTCATTCAAAAATGTTAGTTTTGATAATAAGGAAAACATTCTTTACTGATATCTCATAACAAAGTATAAAGTCAAATGTATCATAAAGCTCATCCAATCAATTGAAAACCATTATGGATACATTACTCATTGATACTAGAATAGATGTAATATAAAATCAGAAATATTGACTATATTCTCAAATCAATTGTATTAGGTGCTAGTTATGCCTTAGATAATTTTGTAGTAATTTCTCCTACTATTACATTCCCTCCCAGTGATAGTTATTCACATCTTTCATTTTGAATAAGATTTACAATACTGACAACCTTGAATGACACTTGAAGTAATTAGAATGTAGGTAATATAAATGAATTGATTAGAGATAACACAAAAGATTCATCGGTATTAAAATCAACTTATATATGATAAAGAAGGTCGTATACACATAACTTCAGTTCATTTTAATACTAAAAACTTTGTAAAATAGATGCTCGTCGTTTATTCGTGTATTGTATTGTTCTCAAGATTCTTGAGTAATAGACATTAGTTGTAGGATCGATGAAATAACATTTACGAATGATGATCCAATGATGATAATCTATACACTCTCTAATCATTTGCATGGATAGTTGTCACTGATCTCATTTAACATACATTGATTAGATTATCATATACTCGTGAGATTTGTAGATCCTTACAAATTGACTTGATTACGCCTTGAATCATATCACGTACATTCAAGATGTAAAAAATATTCTAAATATACAATATACATCAGTAACAAGTGTTTTGTTTTGTAATTTGACTTTTACACTAAAATTGTATCTTTTGTGTGCGTACACAACTGATATGTTTGTCAATTTCATCAAATATCTTAAAAATATCAGAAAGAGTTTTGCAGATATTTTATGGTAACTTTAACAGTTTAGGTCTAGCTTCAATAGACTCATGATCTCAACTATTAAAATTACTATAATGTCCACAAAACTGCTGCGCAGTTCGTTCCGTCCTACTTCCTGGCAGTGAATCATGGTCGATAAGAACAGAGGATATTTGTAGAATACTAGTATTTGATCATAGGTGACTTCGAAACTTTGCTCGTATATCCTGGGACCATCGAGTAAGTTACGCAGTTGTTAGGAAACAGGTACTAGGTGAGGATGGCATATTAATTGATAAAGTAATGAAACCTCATCAGTTGACATGGTTGGGACATGTGTTACGTCTGCTTAACCACCGACGTGCTATGTTTTATGGTGTAGGAGTAGGTCAAAAGAAAGCTAAGAGCGGCCAGACCAAAACATGACACAAGTCCATGAAGTCACTGACAAGTAGACTGAACCATGTTGGTAGGTGTAGACTACATGGGTGGGGACCGCGAGATGATAACAACCGATGGTTAGAGATCCTGAATGACATGGCTCAAAATCGTTTGCAATGGCACAGGTGCATCCACTCTCTCTGTTCTCTCAAATATATAATCTTCTGAATTATTTATGTCCCTTTATTTTTTCTCTTTCCAAATTCATTTCACTGTATTGTACTCCTTGAATAACATCTTCAAGCCCTAATCATTCCGATTAATGCTTATACTTTTGCTACCCCTACCATTATGGAATTTAAATCGACAAGTGCATCTCTGTGCTAATGTGATATGGCAACTCGAAATGATGTACGTACGTACGGATGTACGAAGTTCTTCGTTGTTACTGATTGACTGACTGACTGACATGATCTCAACTAATAAAATTATCTTAAAAATAATTATATATAAACAATATATACTTTGCTCTTTATAAACTACAAATAATCCCCAACCGTTGTTGCTACCTTGACGTAGTGCTCGGGCTTGCCCATCGTGATGAAGCAACCGAGCCATACTGTCTGGAACAACCGTTCCTCAAGGTTCTATCATCCCAAACAGCTCGGTTGAAGAGCGGTAAGACTAAAAGCAACAAAACAGAGGTTCGAAGGCGAAGTCTTACTGCTGACTTACAGAGGGGTGACAGCACCAAGGTGTTTCCTTCAGACAACCAGCAGAACAGCGATGCTGCCTTTCCACAAGGAGAGGTGGGGTTAGAAAAGGTTGACCCTAAAAATGCACACCTCACCTTATCCCACGGATATCGGTCTCCAGCAATAAGGTTTCAACAAGTACGGACACGAAAATTACTCATAAAAAGGTCGTGTGTGACCGACTTCAAGCAGTTGTCCCTTAGGCACTGCAGTCACGGTCTCAGGTCATTAAGACCACGTCTAATACAATTAGATTTTCAGGTACCTCCATAAGAACCCCTTTCACGGTGTGGGCAACCTTGAAATGATAACCGCCCTCATACCTCTAACACTGCTCAAGACCACTGTATTCTGACTGACTGACAAACTATCTTATCTTGATTTCAATTACTGATATATTCAACATAAATATAAAACATGATAAACAAAAAAATTAAGGATAAAATTATCATAGTACACTTACTAATACGTTTTCTTGAACGTAAACAATAAAAAATTGCAAATCCCAATGCAATAAATAATAGTAATAATGGTAAACATACAATTAATGCAATTATTTTTGACCCCATATAATATTCAATGAAATAATTACAATGAATTTAGTAATATATAATAAGAAATTATTCAATAAAAAAATGATTTCCTTTATTAGTCAAATGATATTGATGTTGTTGTCAAGTGTATACACCAACAATAATAATAGAATCTTAACTATTCATTTATACTATTCTATATACATATCAATGAAAGTTAGTAAACATGTGTGAGCGTGTATATATTATATATATATATATATATATATATATATATATATATATATATATATATATATATATATATATATATATATATAATATATACACGCTCACACATGTTTACTAACTTTCATTGATATGTATATAGAATAGTATATATATATATATATATATATATATATATATATATATATATATATAGAGAGAGAGAGAGAGAGAGAGAGAATCAATACAATAAGGTTATAACTACTTACTGTTACTCAGCAACAAAGTTTTCTAATCACTATGACGAAAGTATTATCATGATTGTTGTTGTGGGTATTTTTTTTCTTCTTTAAAATTTCAATTACGTTACTAATGAACACTTGACAATCATTATAATATATACACATACAAACAGACACATGACTGCATCATATTAGTATCATCCATTAAAGTGTCATCTGATAATGGTAGTGTGTATAAAGAAAAACAAAACAAAATAGAAGAAAAAAAAAAGAAAACTTATTTGTCGAAATGGTTTTTTTTCTTTTTTGTTTTTTCTTTTACTCTATTTGTCAGATTAAGACTTTGTTGTTTATATACCAAATACATTTTATATGTATAAATTGATGTATGATGTATATCTATGTATATAAGGAAGTTGATACTATTGACCAGGCTATTTGGTTATTTATCTATTCATTTATTCATTTCTATTGTTTACTATTTATTGTATCAATTGACCAGTAAAACTTGTTTACAAATGTCATTTCTAGTGAATCATATGTGATGATTAGAATAATGGTTTTGTGGAGATTATAATCATTTTATGGATTGAATTCATGAGTCAATCTAAATTAAACCATTATTGACTTATGATTATAACAAATGAAATTTCTAAAAAATTTCCACAAAACCCATTCAGATAATAATAATCACTTGATAACTAGTGACTGACTTCAAGAGATACTCCTGGAGTTCTAGTAAGAAGTCGTTACTAGTGAAGTTCAACCAGATCTGTTGTGAGATATCAGCTCACTGAAGACAATGGTGTACGGTGGAGGAACTTCATGGATTGGCTGAAGTTAGACATTAACACCGTTGGATGGCGGCCAGCTCAGTGGTCTAGTTGGTTGAGCGCCTGGCGCGAGGCTGGTAGGTCCTGGGTTCGAATCCTGAGGAGTGCGGGTTCGTGAGTGCGCATTGCTGAGGAATCCCATACTAGGACGAAACGGCCGTCCAGTGCTTGCAGGTTTTCTATGGTGGTTTAGCTACAATTGGGTTATGATTTCAACAAGTGAAATTTCTGATAATAAATCTGAAATCACTGGACAGCCGTTTTGTCCTAGTATGGGACTCTACAACAGTGTGTATCCATGACCTTGCGCAACGGACTACAATCCAGAACCTTCGATCCTGTGAGATGAGGGATCATGGATGCATACCGTTGAAGAGTCCCATACTAGGACGGAACGGCTGTTCAATGATTGCACCACTTCAATAGGGATCTGGCTTAGATCATGCATTCAACTATTAAGATGATAGATTAAACGATAGAATCTTGATATTGGTTTAAAAGTCTTTGAAATTAAATTGAAGCGTTTGGTTATTTAATGAGTTACAACTTTATAGCCTGTCAAAACTCTTTATTATGTTGTAGAATGAAAAAAACTACTTATACTGAATCCTATAAGAAAGTTGCTGTCATTTTACAATTATCATTTTTACAAAACGTATCCATGATGGGTGAATGTTAAGTTGAGATAATCACTACACGTAAACTAAATTAATCGATAGATGCTCTGAATGTGTATAATTTGTATTGTTTACAACTTGTTTTAAAAAGATCATGCCAACGTGTGAGTATGTAGGGTATGCTACTTATATCAACATAAATAGTATCTAACGCTAGTCAGGAATAGATTGTCTGGCAGCAGTAGGTCAAGAAGATCGAGGAGAAAAGAAGGACAACAGAAAGTAATCGGTATGGAACTAAAGGTTAAGTAAAGTTTAAGACAATTGATTGACATTTTACAAATGAAGTATTTACTGTATAATTCTCAGATTTTACCAAGAGATTCTGGAATTTTCTTATCAAATACATTCGATTGTCTCCGCTTGTGCTCTCGTTCACTATAAATCATCAATGAAGTGAAATGTTCTAATTTTTGGCGAGACTATAATTTATGAATGAATCAATCAGATTTACGATAACAGGTCTTATATTTTGATGAAAATTCATTCACCTATTTGGCTAAATAGAGTCTTGGCATTATCGCTGATGTCAGTTCATGATGAAAACCTTAAACCTCATTCCTAACCCTAACCATCAATTGTAAATTATAGTCCTTATTCTTCAAACTGCTTTAGAACCTTAATTTAGCCGTATTAAGTAGGTAAACACTCTCAAGGTCAGTTTAGCGTCGCTCGAAGGTCGTCCATAAGTTATAGTTTCTCCTAATTTTCTTCAAATTTCAATCGCTGAACTCATGAGTCAATTGAAGCCAGACCACCATGAAAACCTGGAAGCACTAAACGACTGTTTCGTCCTAGTATGAGACTCTTCAGCAGTGCTCATCCAAGATCCCGCCCCCGCCCCGCAAGATTCGAACCCGAATTGTTTATTTTAAACTATATTAACAATCAATGGATACAGTTTATGAATTGTTTAATTTAACTATTAATAGTATCGATCAATGAAAAACGTGATTAGTGAAAATCGATATTTTAGATCGATCATATAAAATCTACAATTTGTGTGTTCATTTATTGAACCAATCAAAGTTAAGTGTACTTCTTAACGTTTTAGACAGGCTAAAAGAAAATTAGCATCAGAAGGGGTTTTTATGGATAATATAGTAATTTCAATAGTTAAGATCATCAGTCAACAGAAATTAGACCACGTTGGAAAACTTGGAAGCACTTGATGGCTGTTTCATATGTTATGAGGCAGTAATTCACTGAAGATAATGGTAGGCGGTGGTGTAATTTCATGGATTGGTTGGAGTTAGACATGAACACTGTTGGATGTCGGCTCAGTGGTCTAGATGTCAAGTGTTCGCGCACGAGACCGGAGGTCATAGGTTCGAATCCCAAGTGTGAGATCATGGATAAACACTGTCATGGAGGAGTCATATACTAGAACGAAACGGCCATTCAGTGCTTCCAGATTTTCCATGATGATCTAGCTTAAATCAACTCATGAATTCAATCATTAAATTCACTAATCAGATAATATCTAGTATTCTTGATTCTTAAAAAAAAACGAAGGGTATTCAAGAAGCTCTGGTCACATACGACTAGGTTGAGTTAATGTTCTATTCATTCTATGAGAATCTAATTTGGAGTACAATACAAATATACAAAAACTCCTGTACTCAAAAATATCTCTTAAGGTAGATAGTGTTATATTAATAATAACTGAGTTAGGAATAATAAAAAGCCAATCAAGATATGATCAATATTTGTATTTTCAGGTGGAATGAGAATCTAAAGATAAGTTCAGTAATATACAATTTGCCTATTACATTACCTCTTGTAATTCTGATATGACTTGTCTATTGGTACATTCAAGGAAACAGAATATGAAGTAGAAATGGAACCAGTTTGGAGAACCAATTACTTAGCTTGGTAGACATATTAACCATGACAAAGGAGAGATTAGTAAAATTGACGCTTCCTACAAACATATACATTTCATAATGTCTATTCTAATGTCTATTACGATGATAGTGAACTGGTTAGTTTTTAAAAAAAAGTATACTTGGTAAGTTTGGTCAGTCATATATAGGCTGAAAGACAAGCGGATACCATTGGACGAAATTCGGTTTCATTTTCAAAGGAAAGGCAAATCATTGATTGATAATGTGGTTTCATTTTTTCGGGAACAAGGATATATATTTATGAATAGGTGTATACATATTTTGATTCGGATTTGGTCAATAAAGATTTCTTCACACTTTCGATCTCCTTACTCAAGTAGTTGATTTTCACTTCCTAGGCTCAAGGTACTTTCACAGGACTGTGAGAACCCTGTACCTTTAATCAATCTTGATGGTGGGTAATTAGAAGTAGTCAAGGCATTCATTTATCTAGGTAGCTGTTTAAATGCTGAAGGTAGCGTGAGTGATGAGATCAGTTTTCGCATGGTGAGTGGCTTATGCGAATCTATGTCATCGTGACGTTAGTTTGGCTGTAAAACGTCGAGAACAGTTTTCTTCAACGTTTGTGAAATCTAGTCTCTCCATGTCGAGGACGTTAAGCATTTGTCTGTGTTTGATCGTCATCGTTTCTAAACGATTGTTGACATTTAATGGCAAAACTATGTTAGTAATGCACAGGTTCAGCAACCCACGTGCTCAGGTACAGTGACATTAATTTGTTTACTGTCATCATATTCTAACACTGACTTTGATGATCTGAACATTTCCTATAAATATTGTCCCGATGAATTCCGAATTGTTCATTATTTCCAGATGCTAAAATCGAGTGGAAAAAGTGGAAAGATGGTCACTGTATAAAAGACAGCTGTACAGAACCCGTATTTGTTGGTTCTTCACAACTCCTTGATTGAGGTTTTAGAAATAACGTAATCTAATCGATTCACGCGTTTTCAGACATGACTCAGAATAGAAGACAATGTGGTGAACCAAGTGTAACTTTCTTCTATTTTCATCATAGATGTGTGAAAAACTTCTTTAGCTGATAACGTTCTTTCTGGTTGTATTTTTTTCTTAAATGAATTACTTCTCTCATCATTGACCACTTTCATTCAACTGTTTTTATTCATTTTGTTTTTCCCTATTATACTCACCGTCCTTCCTTCCTTCCTTCCTTCCTTCCTTCCTTCCTTCCTTCCTTCCTTCCTTCCTTCCTTCCTTCCTTCCTTCCTTCCTTCCTTCCTTCCTTCATTCCTTCATTCCTTCCTTCCTTCCTTCCTTCCTTCCTTCCTTTATCTTTCCATAATCTCTTCTTTTTCTTTTATGGAAGATATTTACTTTGGTGTTTCTCTTTATCAATCGGTATGTATTTAAATAAGTAAATACAAATAAATAATCTGATTCCGTGAATAGGAAATTTGTGTTATTAATAATGTGATGTGTGATACTTATGTCGAGAGATATAAGTAGTATGTAACACCAATAGAAAGTGAAGTGCCTGGTAGCAGAAGGTTGAGAAGATCGAATTAAAGAGAATGGGGACAGAGATTAATTGGTATGGAAATGAAGGAACAACAAAGTCCGAGACAAGAAGTGGACATTTCACAAATGAAGTATTGAACGTATAGTATTTACATTTTACCAAATAACTCTGGAATTTTTTCTACTAATGTATTTGGTTTCCCCTATTTATATTCTTGTTTACTACCACTGATAATGATACTCATAAATCTGTTGAGTTAGGTCTTGAGATGGTGAAGAAGATTTGCAGCTCAGGTGGATGGTTTTGGGTGGAGTTTTGTTCTCTGAGCTGGATGGTTTGACAATGGAGCTTTCATCGTTCTTCTGAACGACATCATCAGCACATCATTCAAGTAGTGGTGAAGTGTTCGATTTTCTTCGCATATGACTCACAGTTTGTCCAATGGATCTCAATCTTGATTGGTTGTTGCCCTTTAACCTGCTATCGTTTACTTTTTATTTTGATTGTATCTTCCATTGATTTGATTCTCGATTCTATATTTGTCCATGATTTTTCTGTTTGGCTGATAGGTTGGATCGATTTAAAGGTGTTCGCTGATTAACCTAAGTTCCGATTTTCTAAAAATTCTCTGGTATTTTATTGGAATTTCCTCTATCAGATATCTCAATATCTTCCACAGTTGTACACATGCACTGATATAAGAGAGGATATATCATGGCGTTTGACCAATAAATGATGTTCATGTAGGCAAAGATGAAGAAGAAGTCCACTTTGTCCAATGTAGTGTTTTTCGCAGTTGGAACAGTTTATTCTGCAGGTGGTGTTTAACTTTTCTTCTTTTTCACTTCGTCCTTTGAATTGAATAGGATTGATTGAAATGATTTTGCTGGTTTATGTGCTGCACCTATTCCGAACGGCTCCAACAATCTTTTTGTAACTTCTGGTATGCTTTTTATATATGGCAAGATGATTCGTTTGTTGGTTCGACTACTTAAATTTCGTTTCTGCGGTTGACTTGAGTTGATATTTTTGGATGAATTTGTGCCGATAGCTGTTCTTCTGAAGAATAGTCTTTAGACAATTTCTTAATTTTTCCGCTCTTTAAAAGTGCTGCAATGTATCCTCGCCCACTTCAATAAAGTTCAAGTGCAGTGGATTTTATGAGTTCTTGGGTTGTTGCTATTGTAATTGAGAATTTGATTTGTGTGAGTCGGCTTCCGATATATTTGAGTCTCCAGTTTTTTTGTATCGGTTCTGGTAATGAGCACACCTTAGAATGACAGTTTGTTGTTCGACTCCTTTTCGATTGTGAATTTTATGTCATCGAAGACGTTTCTGGTCAAATTGTAAATGTTTTTCATCTCGTTTTTTTAACGATAATAAGTGTGCCGTCCACATAACGAATACACATTTTCGGCCTAATTACTGGTAAGATCGGAGCTTCTAATCTGTACATCACCACTTCTGCAAGAAGTCGAGAGCTAAGTCTGTTTACATTTAGAAGTTAGTGTTGGACTATTAGCTATACAACAAAGACATCACTTTGGCAAATGTAGAGTTGAACTTGCTTTCGGTTTTATATTACATTTCGCCTTAAGAACCAGTTACACCAACAATCCAAATAAATACAAGCCTCTTACGAACTATCTGATATTGTTCTTAATTATTTCATTAATTATCAAAATGGGGACTTGTGAAGATTTTAGCAATTTTAATAGTTGTATTCACGAGTTGATTTAACCTAGATCACCATTAGAAACCTGGCATCACTGAACGACCACTTCGTCCTAGTATGGGACTCCTCAGCAGTGGGCATTCAAGATCCCGCACACTGAACTTGAACCCAGAATAGTCAGTCTTGTGTGCAAATGCTTAACCTCTAGGCCACTGAGCTGGTATTCAACGGTGTTATTGTCCAACTTCAATCGATCCAATCTAAACATCTACGCACTTATACACAAGTCTCTCTAATCATAGGTTAGAGAAGTCTTATCAAATGGTTACTTTTAAAGAAAGTATCAGTATCATCGAGTCTAGATGAAATGGTTTAACATAGTGAGTTCATAAATATAACACAACATCAAAATAGTTTATTGGATCAATAATTGATATGACACTGAATTCCTACTCCCTGAAATGTTTAATTCTTAGTCATATGTTCCAAATTCCATGGGTATTCAGAGTTATATACCAATCACGTTAAAATGTTCAATATGAAAACTGATTAAACTTCATTCAATGATATTAATTCAATCCTTAGAAATATAATTCAATTAAGATCAAAGATCAAAGTAGTATTCATAGGAATCGTTTTAACATTTTAAAAATAAAGTAAATTTATAAGCAAAGATTGATGGTGGCTAACAGTAGAATCCAGGACGCGCGTTTCGTTCGTTTTTAGGACTCATCAGCTGGATGTACCGAAGTAGACATCAACTTCAGCTGATAAGTCCCAAAGGAGACGAAACCCACATCCTGAATTCCACTGCTACTCACCATCCATATTTATTTATAGAGCTTGTGACTTAAGACAATATTGAGGAAGTCCATACAGATTGTACATATGCCAACAAGAGATTGATCCATTTTGCAGTCCTAAATATCAATGGCGAGGTTCAAACAAACAATACCAAATGAATTTTAAATAGATTTATTGTTTATTTTTAAAATTGTTTACTTGATTTGTGATTTGGTATTGACAAAATAACATCAATTTTTCAATGAAACATGCGACTGAAGTACCGAATTATCATAGTTTACATTGGAGAATACACGTATATAACTATTTAAGTTTATTTTTGCCACTTAAAAAACATCCAGCAATAATTGATAGTTGTTATATTGTTCGTTCTTATTCAGTTAAAACATACACTTCTTATCATTAATCCGAAAGCACTTGTCAGTTGAGAAGACATGAGTGAGTAGGAGGATTTAGTTGTTACATAATATTATAATGTATACGAATGATAAGTATGCATACAGTTGTTCTTTAGAACTGAACAAAGATATGTCTTGTGAGATCTTGTTTAAGTGCATAATCAACATTCTGTAATACGATGCTTTGTTTAGAATTTCTTACTTACTGTTTGACTATTTGAAGTGATTTGTGAGCATTGGTATCTTATATGTTTGTATCTCTCAGTTTCTCAATGCCTTTTATTAGTTTGCATTTGTTACTTATAAGCCATTGAGATTTCAGTGTAATTCGTCGGCTTAATGTACCTGCAACCCAGAGTTGATATGTCACTCCGGGGATCGAACGCCATCGCATTATCAACTTAGCTACTGAGTCCTGATAGCCACTTGCTTGTGCAACGGGATGAAGTTTAAATTCATTTGGTGTTGTTTTACTTATATCTTCACATTGTTATTTGAGACTGCAATTGATCAGTCTCTTGTCGTCACATACGCGTTCTGGGTTTCATTGCTGAACTTTGTCAATCTTTGCTTAAAAAGATTGTGACTTAAGGCAATATCGAGGCAATCCGCGTAGAATGCACATATGCCAACATCAAACTGAAAAATTTCAGTCCTAAATAACAATAAGAAGATAAAAGTAAAACAACATTCAGTGAATTTAACACGTTATATATTTAAATTCAATAACTTTAACCCATTATCTGTCTAATTTCGAAAAGGGTACCATACTACTTCAAGACAGAGTGTGGTAGTAGTAGTAGTAGTGGTAGAGATAATATGAATCGTAGACGTCTAAATCAGTATCTCTGAAGATCGTAAAAAGAACAAAAACAAAATGTATTTGTGTATTGAGCTGTATTTCTTTTCCGTTTATCGGAATAGTACAATAAAATTTTGTACTTAACAATTAAAATAATCAGTTTTCATTCTATCAAAATAAGTTTCAGTCATCTCTAGTAAAAAATATTTATCAATGTGTGGATATAAACAAATCTGGTGTTTATTAATTGTGTATGTGATGATAATAATGATGATAATAATAATAAGTTCCAGAAAGATGATCCGGCGGTTGTATCATTCCTGAAAAATTAAATGGTTGTTTATTATATTACTAATGAGTAGATGAAATTCTGCAATAAAAAAACGATATACCTTTGAATATTAATATCTATGGCAGTTAAAGTGTAATGTCATTACAATCAGTAAATTTTCATTATCAAACCCAAAACTGTTATTTCTCATTTCAAGTTCATTTCTTTTTAAAGAATCTGCTGATAGTGATAATCGCTAATAGTTGATAATCCTAAATGTCTACAACATCGCGTTATCCACTTAGCTACTCAGCCCTCATAGCCACCTGCTTGTGAAATGGGATGAAGTTTAAATTCATTTGGTGTTATTTTACTCATATCTTCACACTGTTATTTAGGACCAGTGGTCTAGTTGGTTAATCGCCTGTCGCGAGACTGACAGATCTTGAGTTCGAATCCCGCGGGGTGGGGTCGTGGATGGGCACTTCTGAGGAGTCCAACGATAGAACGAAACGGCCGTCCAGTGCTTCCAGCTTTTCCGTGGTGGTCTAGCTTCAACTGACTCATGATTTCAACTGTTGAAATTACTACAACCTCTCCATAGCCCTTCTGATACAATATATTTGTTCATTTGTAAATGTAAGGCATCTAAACACTGAATGGGATTCGAAGAAGGTCGTGAAATACAATTAATTAGTTGAAATGAAAAATGTTAACCATTGAATGCTAGCCCAATAATATAAAAATTAGGCTTTTTCTGTAAGATTTGAATGTTCTGAAATCTATCCTCCATGGTAGGTTCATGAATGTATACTGCCAATCAGAAGCTCTATAACAAAATTGAATAGCTGTCCGGTACTATCCACTCTTCGACAGTTGACTAATTAGGGGATGAATTATATGACACAAATCATATTATGATATTCTTGTTGCAAAAACACTTCTGTCAAATTTGTTCTCAATTTGACACAAAATATCCAGCTAAGGTACTTTTGCTAACAAGTATTATTACTTCGATTTGTAAACAAAACACACATTAATTTTTTCAATGGTTGAACAAATATATTGTATCAGAAGGGCTATGGAGAGATTGTAGTAATTTCAACAGTTGAAATCATGAATCAGTTGAAGCTAGACCACCATGGAAAACCTGGAAGCACTGGACGGCCATTTCGTCCTATTGTGAGACTGCTTAACAGTGCGCATCCATGACCACGTTTCGCGGGATTCGAATGCAGGAACTATAAGTCTAGCTTCAATTGACTCATGATCTCAAATATTGAAATTACTACAATCTCTACAAAACCCCCCCCTCTCGGGTTTTCCATGATGGTTTAGCTTCAGTTCGACTCGTGATTTCAACCACTTAAATTACTATAATATTCGCAAAACCTTTCCGACATATTGATTTGTTTGTTTCTCATGGGTTCTTTATCTTGTTTACTTTATCAGTTTAATTTATCTTAATCACTAACGCTAATTCTCCCTTTAAAATCATTTGATAAAACAATGATGTGCTTAGATTTATTTACTAATAACCTTTCATCTTCACTTTCCAACTATTTAACTTAAAGATATAGATAATTTTACAATTTTACAACGAAAGGTGAAACACTTTTCTGGTTTATTATTCCATTGGGCACTTAATAGCAGTTTACAAGTAACCTTGTTCAATTCCGATTTCATGCTCATCGGTATTTATTAACAAGATACACTTATATTATTTGAGGGAATTGATTCTATCCACACCACTTAGTTTTGTATTTTGAGCTACTTGAACCACCAATAACTTTCTGTAATTCTAGAATTCCTCACTGATCAACTTCAATCACTAAACATCTGAACATAGTTCACACGGTGTTAAACCATTTAGGCTGGTGGAACTTGAATGATCAACGTAACGTATGTTCCATACTCGGACAAAACAGTCTAATTAAAGTTAGCTAATGACGTAAACTATGACATTTAAAAATTAGTAGTCTCTTTCAGTTGTCCATATCATATACTGTTCAATAATTCGAAGAATTCAATGTAATAACTATGAAAAATTATAATTATTTAAGTTAAGAACTGATATTAGCTAGACCACTATCGAAAACGTGGAAGTACTGAACAGCGCGCATCTACAATCCCTCGAACAAAGGTCGAACGCAGGACCCTCGGTCGTCCAAAAGGATATTTAACCTCTAAATTTATGAGGCAGCATCTAATAGTGGTAATCTTTAACTTTAATTACTTCCCGTTAAGTGATCTCTAGGTTGTATCACCTCGTAAGATCGAAGGCATTAAGTTAGATTCCCGCATCTAGGATAGTGAATGAGAATCGCTAACGTATCCCTGACTAAAACGAAACAACCGTCCAATGCTTCCACGTTTTTAATGTTGATCTAGCTAAAATCATTTCGTAATTTAAACTAAAAAAAATCCTACGATCAGTTATTACTTTGAATGTTTTTCTGGTTTGTAATGAAGGTAATGGAGGCTGAGTTGGATTGCGTGGATTCACTGATTTAGCAACAATTCCAGCAATTGGATAAACCGATGGTGATAATGAAGATGATTGTGAAGATGTTAAATTTGATGAACTAAGAGGTATTTGTGCAGTAACTGGATAAGATGGAAATTGTTTACTTGAGTTTAATATTTCACCAATTTTGAATTTTCTTTCAGATCCTTTTTTCCCATTAAGTTGCAATTGTTTTGTTTGATTTGTAGAAATATAAGTTGAAGAATTAGCTAAAATGTAGATTCATAGAGATGTAAGGAGAAAAACTAATTACCAAATAGAATATCACACTAACTAATCATCATATACTACTGATTGGACTACTCTAGTTCATTTAATCTATGTGGAAACTTCGGAACAGATTAAATTCAATAAATACAGAATATTTGGATATGTTGTAGTGACTTGGCTTCATTAGTCAATCATTTATGTAACTGTTATTATATAACTTTCAACGGTGTTTGATATTGGAAGTTAATAAGAAACGGAGACTACAGTTTCTGAGAGAATAGCACGGAGAAACAAAGCTATTAACGCATCAAGCAAACTTAAAGCAGAAAGGCGAATGTGTGTATGTGAGCAAATATACTGGCAAATTTATAGTTAAATCGCATAAAGGTATAGCAAGGCAATGCAATAGCTAATCATAGGATTCGAGTACATATATACATGGGAAAGAGAATGATACGTCTGGTGATATCTAAGCGATCAGCATTTAAGCTAGAGAAAGATATGTACGTAGGCTGTCATATGTGATCAAGCCTACACGTTTATACAGATATGATAGTGATCATAATGGTACAAAGAAATAGTGTTATGACCCAAAGCCGCCAATTAGGGAGCAGCGAATTATCGATCGGACCAAGGATGCGTAAAACACATGCGACCAGCCTAGAGTCTTGATTGGTCCTGTTTTCCGCCTAGCCCAGCCAGTTAAGTCTAGAACACCAGTTTCAGCCTCTACAATATGTATCCTTATATTTCAAACATACTGAGTTTATATACCAACCAGACAGACCACATCTTACCATAAAACAGAAACACAATATTTGTACAAGATTTGGCCAAATGTGGCTGTGAATGTGGGAGGCAGTGACTAATACATAGGGCATAATTCAAGAATGGTAAATCATATAATAATGGTTCATAGGTCAAAATAAAGCTCATAATGAGAGGGACATGAATAGGAATAGTTTAGTTATTTAACAATTATACGATAAAAGTATACGTTTAGTATTGGGCCATGAATGGATCTCAAAGCTACCATTCATTACGCTTATCGGTACCTAACAAATAGACGAATTGTTACTGTTCGAATAAGATTGTTTGTTAAGTAAGTTAATAATAGAATATCATAAATCCATATTCTATTCCTTTTTGTGTTCATTAAAGAAAAACAAAAAGCTCATACATACAGATTCAGATCAAGATTACATAATAGTTAAGTTAGGTAAATGGCTTCCAATTTGTATGCACCTGCGCCATTGCAATCGATTTTGAGCCATGTCATTGAAGGTTTCTAACCATCGGTCGCTATCATCTCGCGGTCCCCAACCAGGTAGTCTACACCTACCAACATGGCTCAGTCCACTTGTCAATGATTTGATGGACTTGTGCCATGTTTTGGTCTGGCCGCCCCTAGCTCCTAACTATGTATATGTACTCACATGACATTTAATGTTTAGTACTCAAAACAAACGAAAATAATTGTGATATTTGAGGTAACAGTGAATTTTCACCATTTGAAATGAATGAAATATTTTAACTATAGAAAGAATATTGATAGATTAGTTATCATTTGACCATATATTGAAAAGAAACTTATGCTGTTAAACGACTGTTGCTATGATATTCTACATTCATCAAATAAAATTTATCAAACCTAAAAGTACTAGACGACGGTTTTATTCTAGTATGAAACTCCTCTGTGATAGTGTGCATCCACAACCCCCCCTTCGAGGGATTCGAACCTAGAACCTATCGATCTCGTGTGTAAACACTTAACAATGTAGACCACTGTGTTATATCCTAGTGAAGATTACATTACGAGTAACGTCTGAGACTTATCAATCGACTAATATTATTTATATATTCTCATGGTATAACTATTCAGTAACTAGATTATATATATATATATATATATATATATATATATATATATATATATATATATATATATATATATATATATATATATATATATATATATATATACCGTTCTTAAGCTACGTTCAGTTAATTGACTACTGCCTCCCATGTTCGCAGCCACTTTTTGGCTTTATTGTGTATGAATGATATTTCCTATTTTAAAGTGGGATGCGGTCTGATAGGTTGGTGTATAAACCAAGTATGTTTGAAATAAATGATTCGATTCGATTCGCATAGTGGAGGCTGTTGTTGACATTCTGGACTCAAGTAGACGTGCTAAGCGATCAACGAACCAATAGGACGCTGGGCTGATCAGACCAGTCAGACGTTACTGGTTTAGTACAGTATGAATGTGAATAAATCGTAGTTTCATTGGCGAATAAGTTGCGTAATAACTAGAGGGTTATAAAGTCACAACACACTAAGTTGATATTCAATGATGTTAATGTCTAACTTGAACTAATCCATGAAATTGCATCACTGTCCACCATTGTCTTCAGTGAGTAACTATCTCATCCCAGACCCAGGATCGTAAAGGCGTACTATTAAGGAATCCCAAACGTCCAATGCTTCCAGATTTTCCATGGTGATCTAGCTTTAATCAACGTATGAATTCAATTAATAAATTACTAAAATCTCCACAAAACTACCACCCACCCCCCTTTCTGATTATAACAATGAATAGAGCTAAGATTATTATTATTATTATTCTTTCAATTAAAGAAATAAACTATAGTCATTCACTATACAATAATGTACCATTTAAATGAAGCGGTCATTCAACTGTTATTATTTAGTTAAATACATTTATTAAAACAATGAAATAATAAAAAAAAAAACAATAAAATTTCTAATTCATTTATAACCCTTAAACTATAATCTATAAATATTTATTGATAGTCTATAATAACTTAATTTAAGTCTTTAAATGACTTTAAATGGTATTCAAGTGTTAGTTTAATAAAAATTAAGTTATTAAAACTGGTTAGTAACACATATAGATAAGAATTAGATATAGATTATTGATTAAAGTACTTTATCGATTTATTTATTAGTATTATCCTATGAAGTATTATTATTATTATTATTATTATTATTATTATTGGATATAATGAAAGTTCATTGTTCATTACCAAAACTTGAATACTTAAGATACCCTGAAGCCGTTATATGAATACATATGTAATAAAGTGTAAATAGATTTATATTATGATACAGATGTGAAAGCGCGGATTGGTAAAACAAGAACAGCATATTTACAACTAAAGAACATCTGGAACTCAAAATAACTGTTAATCAACACTAAGGTCAGGATTTTCAATATAAATGTCAAAACAGTTCTACTGTATGGGGCAGAAACCTGGAGAACTATGAAAGCAATCATCCAGAAAATACAAGTATTTATTAATAGTTGTTTATGCAAAATACTTCAGATCCGTTGGTCGGATACTATTAGCAACAACCTACTGTGGAAAAGAACAAACCAGATCCCAGTGGAGGAAGAAATCAGGAAGAAGCGCTGGAAGTGGATAGGACACATATTGAGGAAAGCACCCAACTGCGTCACAAGACAAGCTCTCACGTTGACTCCTTAATGCCAAAGGAAAAGAGGAAGACCAAAGAAAATGGAAATAGACATGAGAAAAATGAACAAGAATTGGATGGAACTAGAAAAGAAGGCCCAAGACAGAGTGGGTTGGAGAATGCTGGTCGGCGGCCTATGCTCCATTGGGAGTAACAGGAGTAAGTAAGTAAGTAAGTAAGATTTACATTAACCTTTTACATGTAATTTGGATAATAATATAAACTGTTAAATCTATATATAGTGCAACTATGTTACATTTAATAAACTAATATCTTGACTAATATGAAAGCATTTGATCTATAAGGATTGAAATTAATAGAATAAACAAATAATAAGATTTTAGTGGCCCGTGGATCTGACTCCAATTAGATCGTATAAATGTCTGTTATCGGTTATCCTCGTATACAGTCATCGACTTAAATCGCGTTAGTCAATAACGGAATGAAATAAGTCAAATAACGAGAATGGTCTTGTGAATACATATATTTTGTATATAAAACGAATGGGAGAGAACGAAGCAAAACGACGTGCAGTGGAGATGGTTGGTAAGCCAACTCTCATTTAACCAAGCGTTAATCAATATTTATAGTTACACAAAAGCAAGTTACAGACATGTGATGAGTAATGGGATAAGAAGTGTACACACATATATGCGCTCATATAAAAACAGTCAAGATTGATAAGCGAATAAATAACAAGGTCAGAATGTGATTCAAGTAGAATGAATAGAATGGGCTGTCCGAATGCTAGAATAAGGTGTATGGGTTTAACATAATAGCTGACACTACAAGATTTTATAGAAAGAATTTATTTTATTTATTTAAACACATAAACAGTGGTATAGTGAGGCACCAAATACATATTCGTCACATAAATCATTCGATTTATGCGAGGGTTGTGTGCTCAAACTAAAGCAGATGGTTTTCTTAGGAGGTCACACCCGAAACCTTCGACTTAAAGATCTGATCCACAAGACAGTAGAGCAGTGTCAGGAGATGCAGTCTCATGGTAGCAGGTCACCAATAATTGGTTCATACGCTATTTATTCTTTCAGGATACTGGAGCCCATGTGCACCATTGGTTTGGAATGAGGGTTTTCCAACTCCCCTAGGTGGATCGTCTATATCCATCAACCCAGTTAAAGTGCCAGACATTTGCATTTCGTTCTCTCAATTTCGTAAGTCAGTAGGTCTTCTCTGACAGTGGTTGTATATACATGGCTGTGTGAAAACATTTGGAGAGGAAGAGCTAACTCTCCCCACTCTCGGCCATACCAGAGCATTCGGGGGCCAAGAAGAATTAATTCTTTCAAGATTTCTGGTACATAATCCTGAAGAGAATCGATTAATATATGGTAGTTTGGCTTCGAGATAATTTCTTTTTCTTCGTTTATCAATCACTTTCATAACCATTTTTAAGTAAATCTCAACGGTGGATGAATTCAGAAAGCAATAAGAAGTAGCGATTTTAGTTTGTTATTGGGTAGCACAGATAAACAACTTATAAGCACATCGAGCAAATCGGAACGGAGAGATTAATATATGTGTGCAAGCGAATACAGAGACAAATTTATAGTCAAATCGAATCAAGGCGAAGCGAAGTAAGACAAAACGCGGCAAGAAAATTGATAAGATTTAAGCATACATGTTTACACAAACGTGATGGTGATCATAACAATACAAAGATATAGACAAATTATTACTGTTCGAATAACACTGTCTGTTAAATAAGTTGATTGAAGGTCTTGATAAATTAATTGTAGGACGGTTGCTATAAACATAACATCTTGATCACTCATTATTTCTTTACGAGTACCTCCAACCATTTAATACCAAAGCTTAGTATCCACGATATCGAGTCATATAACCTAGTGGCCATATTATAACATGATCGATACGATTCAGTCAAGATTGTTCAGTGATTAATCAATCATCGATTTGTGGAGATTGTAGTATGTTCAAAGTTGAATTCCTGGGGCGATCCAATCCGTATAGAGTGTGAGACAGTTATTTACCTCAGATAACAAATGAAGGGTTGCGCAAGATCATGGATTGATCAAAGTTAGATATTTACACCAGTAAATGCTGGCTCAGTGGTCTAGAGTTTAAGTATCCGCTTGCTAAATCGAATGTTCTGGGTCCGAGTCTTGTATGCGCGATTGTGGATACACACGATTGAGGAGTCCCATACGACAGTTCATTGCTTTCAGATTTTTAATGATGATCTAACTTAGATCATTTCGTGAATTCAACTTTGAATATGTTACGAAATTATTGATATTAGTCAAACTTATTCAAGTGAAGGTCAATGAAAATGAAATAGTGATGCATGGTAAATTGCCATAACTTTAGTTGTGCATAAATTCTTCGCTTAAACCTTTTTTCAGCTAGAGTTTTTCTTTACTTTGAAGAGGATTTCGAAGGACAATCCACATGGTAGGGGGTGACTCAAATTAACCATGATCGACTTGCATTCTCTCTTAAATAGCCACGCAGAGTATATCATTACTGAATTCAGTATTACTTAAATACCAACTTAGTAGCAACTTATTTACTTACATCTGTTACTCCTCGTAGAAGTGCATAGACCGCCCACCAGCACACTCCATCCAACATTGTCCTGGGCAATTCTTTGCAGTTCTTTCCAACAGTTATTCATCCTTTGCAGATCTGCTTCCATTTCCCAAAGTGATCTGTTCTTCGGCCTTCTTCTTTTCCGATTCCCTTCAGGATTCCAAGTTATCACTTGTCTCGTGATGCAGTTTGATGATTTCCTCAATGTATATTCTATCTACTTCCATCGTCTTTTCCTAATTTCCTCTCCAACTGTAAACTGGTTTGTCCTATCACACAGTAGGCCGTTGTCGATGGTTTTCAGTCAATCGATGTTGACTATCTTGAGTAGACAACTATTTATGAATACTTTCACCTTGTTGATGATGGTTGGAGTAGTTCTCCAAGTTTCAGTTCCGTATAGTAGAACTAACTGTCCTGAAATTCCTGTTGAAGGTTCTGACTTTGATAGTCGTTAACAGATAGTTGTTTTGAGTTCCATATATTCTTCAATTGTAGGAATGCGGCCCATACTTTGCCAACCCTCTTCTTTGTGTCGGTATCTGATCTTCTTTGTTTGTCGATGATGCTTCTTAAGCACGTGAGCGATTCCACATCTTCCAGAGTTTCACCATCAAGTGTGATTGGGTTAGTGTTTTCTGTGTTGTATTTGAGGATTTTGCTTTTTCCTTTGTGTATATTGAGGCCCACTGATACAGCGACTACTACTATACTAGTTTTGTCTTCATTTGTACCTGTTCGTGTGTATGGGCTAGGAGGTCTAGGGCGTCTGCGTAGTCCAAATCGTCTAATTGGTTTTGAGCTGTCTATTATATTCCATGCTTTCCCTCAGATATCGATTAGAAGCAACTGATTTGGTAAACTTATAAATTAAGATGGTGAATAAAACAATTATATATATATATATATATATATATATATATATATATATATATATATATATATATATATATATATATATATATATATATATATATATATATATATATATATATATGACAGCGTTGAACAACTGCAGATCATAACATTTAAACTATTGTCAATAATATATGTTTACACATCTCTTTACTGTTTACATCTTCTCATTAATGTTTAGGGCTAGGATTGATCAGTCTCTTTTAACATATAATCATCCTGTATGTATTGCCTTTATATCTAACGCTCCTTAAAAATACTTGCAGCTTAGCGTCCACAACGAGACAATCCGCGTATGATCAATATATGTCAAAAAAAGACTAATCAATTACAGTTTTAAATGTCGTTAGCTAAGTGGATAAATCAATAACATTTGAGGCTAATAGTACTGGATTCAAGTCGCCGGGTACATATTGGCGAGACTCTAATTTATGGACGAACCTTGAACGAATTTTAAGTGACCTTGAGAAATATTAACCAATCAACAAACACACAGTATAGAGTAAAAATATATTGTGAAAAAACAAGCAAATAAAGTGGATACACTTCTTATACGTGATTTAAAAACTTGTCAAGGTTAGAAAGAGGTTCAGAGGTTCTAAAATCGTGCAATAGAGGAAATCATTCATACGACTACAGAATAGTCGATCTCTGGAGCCATGATAAAGTTTCAAAAACTCTTTCAGCCTCGACCACATAGCTTCAATATTGTTTATGTGCACTCCGGTTGTTGAGTGCACAAAGTGCTACTTTTGGATATAGACACGATGCACATAACCAAGCCTATATATGAGTCTGTATGCTCTCCAGTCATCTGTGTATATTGTAGTACCTGGCTACAGCCAGTGTTACTGGTGCTTTTATTACCCAGTTCGCAATAACTGTCGTAATTTGCCTTAATTAAGAATTATATATGGGGTTTTCATCACGAACTGACATCAGCTATAATGCCAGAAATTTATTTAGCCAAATGGATGAAAGGCTTTCACGCTAAAATCCGAGATCTATTATCTTATACCTGATTGGCTCATTCACAAATTATAGTCTCGCCGTTTAATTTGTTATAGCCGCTCAATTATCACGTTTTGTATAAAAACCCCTGTGAACCGATCGTACGTTAGCATTAAGCACTAAAGTTGACGCCGTGACCTTGAAATCCTTCAAACGCTTCTGATTGCCTCGTCCATAAATTAAAGTCTAGCTTACATATCTACTATGGGATATAGTAGATACATCCAATTAACAAGTCACAAACAGGATGAAACTTACTTTCTAGATTTGACATAGTTTTTATACATGATGAAATAAATAGAGAAATAGTTTAATGAACTATTTTACTTACTGTCTTGTTTATTTCGTTTTCTTCTATAATACCAGATCAGTATTAATGCTACAATTAAGCATATGATTCCAACTATGCTCAAAACTAATGGGACAATAAACTCAATACTGTATTGAAATGATCTGTTTGAAATTATAAAAAAAACAAAGTTTTTTTCAATTGTATAGAATAGATGTAGGATTTATTTAATTAAAGATGTATGAATATCATATGATTACAATATATTTCAGTTTTTGATGGAGTTTTGTTCTCTGAGCTGGATAGTTTGATCGTGGAGCTTTCATCATTCTTCTGAACATTATCATCAGAACAAACTTCCGATAGGAGTCATTCAGAAGAACGATAAAAACTTCACGACCAAACAATCCAGCTCAGAGAATAAAAATCCATCAAAATCATCCATCTGAGCTATAAATCTTCTCCACCATCTCACATGTTTCTGTTCAATATCTCTAAAAAATTGCTTGTCTGGTTGTGAGTTATATGTTTAGTATGAGTTGTGGAGTTTGTTGGATTTCATTGTCCCCATGAATCGATTTAAGTTAAATCCCAACTAAAAATCTGGGAGTGCTAGATAGCCATTTTGTCTCGGCAGTGCACATCTACGAAAGACTCAAACTTGGGACCTCCGGTCTCTAGTGTGAATATTTAAGTTTGAAACTGATGAGCCGGAGAAACTGGAGGTCCTTAGTTCAAGTCCTTCATGGAAGATTGTGTATGTCAGGCAACTAAGTGGTAAATTCTAAAATACAGTGGAAACTAAAATGATGTTTCACTGTAGTATACACCTTCAAATCAACTCATAATATAATCAAAGAATCCTTAAAAAAGTTATTGACAAGAATTCTACCGTCAAATTATTCCATCATAATCTAATAACAAAAAACAATGAGTTAAAAACAAAATGAATTCAATTCGTTATCGTTTTATTCAAAATAGTTCATTTGTAACATACTGAATTGTACTAAGATCATTATTTAATCAACTAGAGATGAATATTGGTAGAGATTGTGGTATATAATCAGTTTTTTGTCAATGAATTTAAAACTGTTGTTTGTATGCATCCTTAACTACAGTCAAATACATGGGGTAAATGATAGATAGATAGATAGATAGATAGATAAATAGATAGATAGATACATAGATAGATACATAGATAGATACATAGATAGATACATAGATAGATAGATAGATAGATAGATAGATAGATAGATAGATAGATAGATAGATAGTTAGATAGATAGATAGATAGATAGATAGATAGATAGATAGATAGATAGATAGATAGATAGATAGATAGATAGATAGTTAGATAGATAGATAGATAGATAGATAGATAGATAGATAGATAGATAGATAGATGTGTGGATAGATAGATAGATAGATAGATGGATAGATAGATAGATAGATAGCTGTAGAAACAAGTCAAAACATGTTTTTTAACATTACACATTGAATAATATCCATATACATTAAACTAATAAAGATAATATTCATAATAAAAACAATAAACCATCAACTCACTGTGCCTCTACTGAAATGTGAAATGGAAATAAAAGCGTAAAATAAAATTTGTTAAAATGATGAATGATAATTAAATATTTTAGAATTTTAAAAGTTAAACAGATGTCAGAAAAACATTTTAGAATATATTGGTGAATGTTGCTGGCTTCGAATCCCGAATTGAACATCAATTCTAAGATGTAGAACCATCCAGCTGACGAATGCACAAACATTAAAAGCACAGATGGATGGTAGTTAGCAGTGGAGCCGAGGACGAATATTTCATCCTATTCGGGATTCACCAGTTGGGTGTGTCTGTATTCTACAGTTGATTTTCACTTCGGAACTCGAGCCTAATACCGTTCGCTTCAAACATCACCATGTTATCCACTTAGCAAACTGATTCCTAACAGCCGCTAGCTTTTGCGATGGTTTGAAGTTTAATTTTATTTTGTATTGTTTGTTGGAATCTTCTCATTGATATTTACGACTACAATTAATCAGTCGCTTATTGGATAACGCGGTAGCGTTTGAAGCGGACGGTAATGTGTTCAACTCCCGGAGTGAACATCAGCTGTGGGATGCAGATACATTCAGATGACGAGTCTTTTTATTATTTCGTTCTTACAGTTAGTTAGATTCTTTTAATGAAATTGGCAATGCATATAATGAAGTCAATTAATTCTAGTCAAATTACTTTTCATACTATCAATGTTTGTTTGGTAAGATTGAACAAAAACTGTAGGGATTAGAAAAAACTTATAACTGATTACTTATTATTAACAGATCATATTCCGTTTACTTCTGATTACTCGAATCTTCTCATTGATGTTTATGACTGCAATTAATTAGTCCCTTATTGAGATATATACATCCTGTACAGATTACTTCGATATTACCTTAATTCATAAACATTATAAGGAAAGATGGATAGTAGCTAGTGGCGCGTTTCGTTCTATTTGAGATTCATCATTTGAATGTACGTACATCTCATAGTTAATGTTCACTCTGTAAATTAAGGTAATATCAAGGCAATATATACAGACAATATACACATATACCAATAAGAGACTAATCAATTTGCAATCACAAACATCAATAAGAAGATTCAAGTCCTACTGTGGGACTCCTCAGCAGTGCGCATCCACGATCCCGCTCATGGGATCCGAACCCAAAGCCTTCAGTCTCGTGCGCGAACGCTTAACCTACTGGACCACTGAGCCGGCATCCAATGGTTTTAATGTTTAACCTCAATCAATTCACGAAATTGCGTGGTCATCTCCCATTGTACTGAGGTAGACACCTGTTTCTACCTGACACGGATTAGCTCCACTGGTGCACTCACTAGTGACTAGCTTCGTGAGAAAATTCTCGGAGTTCTGGTGAAAAGCCACGAGCGAGATCGTGGATGTGCAATTCTGAGGAGTCCCACAATGGGACGAAACGGCCGTCCAGTGCTTCCAGGTTTTCAATGGTGATCTAACATCAATTGGTTTATGATCTCAATCACAAAAAACTAATGTGTGAATATCACACAGTGAACAGTTGTTTTTTCTCTCTCTTTAATATGAGTAGTACAAACGAGAATATCAATATTCATTGGAATAATATCCATAGAAACAAATGATATAAATAATAATTTATTATAGATTTTTCAATTTTATTGATTATTAATAAGATGGAATACTTTTTTTTCTTAGATTATCACATGAATACCAGAAATTTAACAAACAATGTACTTTATGATTCCTTAATTGTGAAAATCTCCGTTCACGTTTATTTCCAATGATATTTTATATTGTTACTAATCAATGATATTAATATTATTATTATTATTATTATTATTATTATTAATCCTATGATTATGAAATAATAAATGAAAGTAATCAGGGAGGGGGTTTTGTAGATATTATAATAATTTAATAGTTGAATTCGTAAGTTGATTAAAGTTAGATCACTATGGGAAACCTGAAAGTACTGGACGGCCATTTCGTCCTAGTATGGAACTAATCTATGGCAGTGTGCATCCACGATACCGCCTCGCGAAATTCAAACTCAGGACCTATCATTCTCATGCGCTAACGCTTAACCACTAGAGAACTAAGCCGGCATCCAACGGTGTTAATGTCTAACTTGAAACAATCCATGAAATTGCACCATCGTCCACCATTGTCATTAGTGCACCATTAGTGTGTGTTATTATCTCACAACTGACTCGGTTGAACTCCACTGGTTACGGCTTCTTACAAGAATTCCAGGAAATGCCTCTTGGAGGCCGTCATTAGAGAGCATATGATGATTATAATCAAAGAGAATATAAACAAATACTGGGAAAATTCTATGAACAGAATAATTCGCTATCAATGTGGGGTTGTGTAGCTTGGTAAGTTTTCGATTGAGATCATGAATTGATCGATATATTAAACGACCAGTTACTAAGTGGATAATATGATGATGTTTGAAGCGAACGGTATTGGATTCGAATCCTGAAGTGAACATCAACTGTGGAGTACAGGTACATCCAGTTGACAAGTCCCAAATAAAATAAAAATACACGTCCTGGATTCCACTGCTAGACAGCATCCATCTTTGTTAATAAAAAGATTGTTTAACTCTATGATAGGTGATTATAGAGAAATAATCTTTAACATAAGGTTAGTCTACGTGTGAATTTGTTTATTAGAACCATTCAATGTTACTTTTTATTATCAAACCTAAGTACTAAGCATTCATTAAAACATAGCAAACTCTTTATAAGTTATTACTTATAAGTGTTATTCATATTAACAAGGTTAAATGATCTTCGAATTAACCTGTAAACTATGTAGTTTTGATTGATTCAATGGTATACAAGTAAACTTTTATTTTAGGTCAATGTAACCTAAAAGTAATGAATAAAATCGATTTCTGGCCTCAGATAATATTCAATATATATAATGAGACTATAATTTATGGACGACCTTCGAACGACGTTAAAGTAACCTTGAAAATGGTCACCAACTTACTAGAACTTTATATGAGGGTTATAAACCTATATGAAGAATAGGCAATATGATTTATATTCACTTGGTAATGTTTTACTTGAATCTTCCCATTGATTTTTTAGGACTGAAATTGATCAGTCTCTTATTGGCATATGTGCATACTGTGCGTATGCCTCGATATTGCCTTAATTTACATGCATTATAAGCAGTAGCTAAGTGGATAACGCGATGACGTTCGAAGCGAATGGTACTGAGTTCGAGTCCCAGAGTGAACATCAACTCTGAGATGCAAGTACATCCAGCCGACGAGTCCCAAACAGGACGAAACGCGCGTCCTGGATTCCACTGCTAGTCACTATCCATCTTTGCTTATAATATGATTTATAGTTTACTGGTTAGGGGTTAGGAATTAGATTTAGCGTTTTCATCACGAACTGACATCAGCTATAATGGCAAAACATTATTCATCCAAATAAATGAATGAATTTCGCACCAAAATCTAAGATCTTTTTGTCTCAAATCTGATTGGTTGGTCCATAAATTATAAACTTGCTGACGAAATAATTCTTAATACTGATTATGAGAAATAACTCATTTCGAACTGAGAAGGTTGTTATTAAGTTTAAATGTTCAAAGACAGTTGTCAAATAATTTATCACTCGATTATCTTGGATATTCAGCTATATCATGAATTAGTGTATAACTATGAAATACGCACTCGAATGCCCCGGTAGGGTCGAGGATGGGGAGAGTTAGCTCTCCCTCTCCAAAAGCTTCCACATGGCCACGCGGATACAATCACTGTCAGGGAAGTTCTACTCACTGACGTGGGTGTTATTTACGAAAATGAGAGCAAGAAAAGCAAATGTCCGACTGATTAATCGAGTCGGTCGATACGGAGGGTTCACCTAAGGGAGTTGGAAAATCCTCATTCCCAAACAATGGTGCACATGAGCTCCAGAATCCTGGAGAAATAAATGGAGTATGAACTAACTGTTGGTGACCGGCTACCATGATACTGCATTTCCTGATGTTGCTCTACTGTCTTGTGGATCAGAATTTTAGGTCGAAGGCTCCAGGTATGGCCTCCTAAGAAATCCATCTGCTTCAGTTTGGTCACCCGGACAGTAACACATCCCACACAGAAATCAAGTGACTTGTGCGGTGCATATGTATTCGGTTCCCCTTTGTACCAATATTCATGTGTTCAAATAAGTAAATAAATAAATAAGTTTGGAATAGAACAGACAAATACCTAAATAAATTGAGGAAGGAAATTACTTCATTTTTTTTATTACAGTCAGTGATGATATCTAAGGGATTACGTAATCGATGATATCATTCGACTGTTTACATGAATAAGTTATAAGGAGATGATCATCACTGATTCCAGTGGATGATTGATGTATTATTTAACTTATTAACTGTAGTGAGGAATCAAGATGATTGAATTCCATCTCAGTAGTCTAACGACTAGAAGGCTTTCTACACAACCGGAAGGTGACGATTTTTATCTTTGACAAATTCGTGTGTACAGTTTCGAAGAGTTCCATACTAGAACAAAGCAATTATTGATTACATCCTGGTTTTTCATAGTATATCAAATGAAACTAAACTATGATGAATACTGTATGACTAATAAAAAGATTTAAATGAATATTAAAGTAGACTTTTATACATCAGATACGAAGATATCATCTCCTACATAATTATCAATGTTACGAAATGATCTAAGTTAGATATTCATTGAAAACTAGGAAGCGCTTGATGGTTGTTTCGTGCCAGTGGGTATCTACGACCCTGACATAGGGGCTCACGTCATTACAATATGACTGAAAAGGATTAGTGTGATAATAGGAACGGGTCTAGAATGTTTTAAAATGCCATTAAACTTACTTCTATATGAACCAATTTCGATATATATTTTCATATCTTAAATCATGAAGCGATATTAGCTAGAACACCATTGAAAAGTTATAACGTTCTAGATAGCTTCTCAGGAGTGCATATTTACAACATCACCATTGAAAATCAGACTCGAAACCTTGGATTTCACAGTTGAACGCTTAATCTCTAGACCAGTGGACCAGAATTTAATGCTTTACATATCTAATTTCAAGCAATTCAAGATATTGCATGACCATCCATGAAAATTTCACTTGCTTGACAAATACCTCCATTTCAAATACTTGTTTCATTTGATGATTACTCCTGAAGTAGAAATCTTGGACTTTTTACTTGTTTAGTGTTTACGCAGCATAAATCAAATTTTTGTTTAGAAACGAGCTCATAAATCAGTTTTAATGTTGCACTAAGAGTGTTTATTAATCTTATCTAGTTTAAGCTAGTGATCACTAATTCAATAGTGGGTATGATCATAACAGTACTGTACAAGTTCCATCAATAAGGAGTAAAAATGTACCGTAAAAGGTTGTTGTATAACTATGAACTTCAACTATGATTCGTCTAGATAGTTTATGAGATATTTTCAGGTTGAAAATGATTAGTTTGTCAATACCTAGAAGCACTGAATGGTCGTTACATTCTAGCATAGATCTCTTCAGCGGTGCACACCCACGACCCCGAACGTGAGAATCGAACCTGAAACCTTTTGTTTCTCACGCAAGTGCTTAACATCTAGACCACTAAACCTGAATCCAATGGTGCTTATACCTAACTTCAATTCATACACGAAATCAGTTGACTCTTTTTTAAGTTTAAATGGTAGACATAGATTATCTAGTTGATGTTTACTCAATAACCGCAATCAGTAGTCGAAAATATTGAGGGATATATTTTAAAATTAATCCAATTAAGGACTATGTATTCACTCTCCATCATACACACTTTTTCATTTTACTGTAGGGTCAATGAAATGTCACTGAGCCCTGGCCAAATCATTTGGCAGTTGGGTCATTGAATATTGAACTGTTCATCGACCTCCAGCAAGTTCAAGAACAACCTACGCGCATCAGTTAATCGTACGCCATGGATTGGCCAATGCAGTAGTGGTCAAACTTTCGCTTTTACCTACTGTAACTAATGTGTTTTTGTAATAGCATCCTTTGTGTTGTACGGTTTTCAAAGCAGTCATAGTGCTTCGATACGACGAACGAGTAAGCCTCGTTAAGTGCTAAGTGTGATGTATGTTGGTCACACGATTCCGGTCCAACTCAAGTAGACCCCCAATCAATCAACACAGATCATTTAAGTCAGTGATCTACACTATTTTTTAAAATTATATTTTCAATATTCAGCTTTATTCTTATTGTCATCATTACTAAATTATTTCAACTATTTGCCACATTTTATTTATTTATTTGAACACATAAATATTGGTACAAAGGGGAACCGAATACATATGCACCGCACAAGTCACTTGATTTCTATGTGGGATGTGTTGCTTTCTAGATGACCAAACTGAATCAAGTGGTTTTCATAGGAGGCCATACCCGGAGACTTCGACCTAAATGTCTGATCCACAAGACAGTGGGGCAATATCAGGAAATGCAGTATCATGGTAGCCGATCACCAACAGTTAGTTCATACTCCATTTATTCCTTCAGTATTCTGGAGCCCATGTACACCACTGGTTTGGAATGAGGGTTTTCCAACTCCCTTAGATGAACCTTCCGTATCGACCGACCCGATTAATCAGTCGGACATTCGCTTTTCTTGCCCTCAGTTTCGTAAATAACACCCACGTCAGTGAGTAGAACTTCCCTGACAGTGATTGTATCCACGTAACTATGTGAGAGTACTTCGATAGCGAGAGAGAGCCAACTCTCCCCACGCTCAATCATACCACGATATTTGGGAGCGCTATTTGTCCTCATTTATCATTCATCCCGTTTTTATTCTTATATATTATGATCAACAACATAAAGTTGAATGATACTTTATATAGATTATAACTAATTTATATCAATTAAATTTTCTTTAAAACACTTACCTATTCTTAACATCATTCCCAATATCATAGAATATAATAAAAAATATTGAATTGATTTGTAGTAAATCATATTAAATTTTCATTTGTTTTAATTATTTCATTTCTTTCATTGATAGAAATAGAAGAAAAAAAGAGAGAAAAGAAAGAAAAGAAAAACGAAACAAAAACAAACAATGTGTATCTTTTCTTTTTTCGTTTGACTTCTTTTTGTTTGTTTATTTACTTTTTGTTGTTGTCGTTGCTGTTGTTGTCGTTGCTGTTTAAATCTAATAATTTACAATATAGATCATTATTCATTTAAAAAAACAGAGATAATATGATGTAATTATGCGGTTAGTTAATAACACTATGATATTGACTAATGTTTTATTTATTATTTCCACAATCAATTCTGGAAAGGATTGTCCAGGATAGGGTTGGATGGCGATTACTGGTGAGCGGCTTATGTTCCTTCACGAGGAGTAACAGGCGTAAGTAAGTAAGTAACAATCAATTAGATATGCATATATATATTTATTTAATATTAGTTTATTGGTAGATTAATGTTACTTCATTTATGAGTATCTTAGCTGTTGGACATTTATTTATATAAGAATATCTTTCTCTCTCCCTCCCTCACTCTCTCTCTCTCGCTTCTTCTTCTTTTTCTTCTCTTTTACTTTTCTTTTTCTTTTTTTCTTTCTTACTAATATCTGTTTGTATATCTAATTATTTACATTCAAGGTCATATCTACTTTGTAATTGTGTCTGTTTTATAATAAATGAAACAAAAAAAACTATTTGGATGCTGGTTCTGTAGTCTAGTAGATTAAGCGTTCATACGTGAGATTGAAAGCCCTGAGTTCG